TAATACAAAGCTCGTGTTAACGAGTTACGGTGAAACGCGAAAGGAAACATTTGTTTAACGGTTTGCGGTTAATGTTCGACGGGAATAAATAGAAGTGAAAAAAAGAGAGGAATTTTATCTGCAAGAAACTAAAGGATAAAAATATCATCGATCTTTTTTTCTTTTTCCTCTTTTCTTTTTATTTTTCTTTTTTCGTTTTCCTCTTTTTCTTTTTCTTTTTCTATTTTTTTTTTCTTCTTTCTTCTTTTTTTTTCCGATTGAAAATAAATATATAAAAATGGTTTATCGCGCTTAACTTTAATACTCACGAAAAATGTATTTTCATTAAAAATATAACCTGCACGCATTAAAATAATTATTTGTTATGAATCAAAAAAGAGATATTACGATTTTTCTTTCATTGGATATATATTTTCCTTCTTTTCTTTATTTTTTTTTTCTTCTTTTTTCTTTTTTTTTTTTTTTTTTTGGATTGGAAAAAGGCTTACTGAATTTTGTAGAAATTAATATATTCCATTGAATATGTGAAGAGATTTTAATAAAAATGCTGGACAAATAAAAATAGGGGAATTAGGAGAAAAGAAAAATAATACATAGATAGATGGACCTAATCTATTATACTGTGTTTAGTTGGTGAGAGAATACAGAATATGCGAACAACCATTGGATTAAGAATCAAAAAAGTAATAATATAAAGAAGGCAAACAATGAAAAAAATAAATGAAAACATTTATATATATGTATTATATATATAAATATATATATGTATTATATATATATATATATATATATATATATATATAATTTTATATCTAATGGCTTTTTATTTATTTTTATATTTATCTTGTTTTATACATTCAATTAAATGTTTAATACATTTATATATTTTACATCTATATATTTCTTTTTAATTTTTAATCGAGTGTTTACATTTAATATTTTCATATTTATCTTTGTAATTTGTTATTCAAAGTTCTTCTTTTACATTTCTCACATTTATCCATATAACTTTTAATTAAATATTTTTGTTTATATTTCTCATCTCCACTTTTCAATTAATAATTAAAAATTTTCGTTTATCTTTATTATCTTCCCTATAACGTTATTTTTAATACAATGATTTCGTTCATCTGTATCAATCATCTTTCCTTTTTTTATTTCCAAATCTAATGATTTCATTTATCTTAATCATCGCTTTTACCTACAAATATTAATTCAATATTTTCATTTTTTAGTATCTCATATTTTTATTTAATAATTAATAATTAAATGTTACCATTTAAATTTTTCATATATTTCTTTTGTGCAACTTTTAATCAAATGATTTCGTTTATTTTCATCATCCTTTTTGTCTGTAATGTTTTAACCAACCTTTTTCATTTATCTTTTCTCGTTTTAATATCTAATTATAAACAATACGAAAAATATTTTCATTTATATATCTCATTCAGACCTTTTCTTATTTATTATTTTTAAATCCAATGATTACATTTATCTTTCTCACCTTTCCTCTTTTATAATTTACAATTTCTATTAAATAATTTCTATATCAATAATTTTTATGTAATTTATTATTTCTACAATTTATATATATATATATATATATATATATATATATATATATATATATTAAAATATTAAGAGTAGGCATGAAAGTTTCATTTTAACACGGATCGTTAATATCAAGGGCAAGTTTGTAGGAGCAAACAGGAGGCCTCGTTACTTAGAAGGGTAACTTGTGGAGGACCCTATAATAGCACTTAACTTATCGATTGTATCGAATCAAGTCGAGTAACTCGATTGTACTGGTCGAAGTCATTAATCACGTTCACCTTCCATCTCTTTCTCTCACTTTCTCGCTCTCTCTCTCTTTCTCTCTTACTCTCTCACTTTTATTCTCTATCTGCCTATACTTGTTCTCCATCTTGCCTGAGTTTGTCGGCGACAAATGATTTGCGATTAGTTACAAGTTACTATACGACATAACGTCTTTCGTTCTGGCTCCGACATTGAAAGTCTCGAAAACTTGGCGAACGTCCACGGGATTTATTAATAATAATCTCACTTTTCGACTAAAATGTAACTCAATCATTATGAATCGACGTAAATGGCGCCCGTTCGTCGTCTACTGGATCATTTTTATTCTTTTTTTCTTTCTTTCTTTCTTCTTTCCCATCCCCCCTCCTCCGACTTTTTTCTCTTAATCTTATATCTCGTAAAGTTCTCTTCCTTTTTTTTTTTTTTTTTTCAAAAACCTTCAACATTATTTTTCGTAATTTATCATAAAAGATATACAAATAATATGTGCATGAATGTACATGTATAGAAACAAATACGAAAAACAAACAATTCATTTTGTTAGAAAAATTATAATCAAAAAAATGACAGAATTTAATTGTCAAATATAATATTATTTTTAATAGAAACTGTTATCGCACGATACTTTTTTACGAAAGATATATCTGGTGTCGACTATAATGATATATAATTATAAACTAGAGATGGCATGAGAATGATGTTTTTAAACAATTTCCAAGAATTTGTTGGTCATATAAACAAACTTTATATACATATATAAATAAACATATTATTTTTAACAAATTTTTATGAACATAACTATTGATATAGATAAATTTTTTATTTTTATATATTCTATAATATTAATAATAACAAAAATAAATATATATATTTTTTGTTTTTTGAACTGATCGCATTATTTAATATATTCAACATTGATTATTTAAAATTAAAAATTTTCTTTTTATATATTCTACAAAATAATATTTAGATTTTATCGTATTAATGATTTGTTAACTTTCAGAAAAATTCGATAAGAACAATCTAAAATAAAATACGAGTATTGAGATTATCATTAGTGCATGTACGTACATGCAAACAAAATTTGTTATTTTATTTTTTCTTTCCTTTTTCTTGTCATCAGTTGTTAATATCAAATCCATGTATTCTTTTGTTACAAACATTATTACTACTGAGGAAGTATAGGAAGAATAAGACAAGGAATGTAATATTTTTTTATAATAATCATTCATCGAAACGATAAGAGAAAATGGGAAGTGATTTATCAATACTTATCGATTACATTGAAACACGTTCAGATAATCAACGATCTATGTGATAACAAATATTCTATAGATAAAATTTATTTCTTAATGAAGACAGCTTATATTTTATATATATATATATATATATATATATATATATATATATATATATATTCTTTCATCACAGCTATGAATAGATCGGCGATAGATACAGGAAATGACGTATTCATGTAATATCGGGTGGATTAATAAGTAATGTTGAGATTTTCAATATTTTACATCTATATATAATATTATAATATTATATATAAATTGTATCTATAATATTATAATATAATATATATGTTGCGTTTATATATGAATAATATAATATCAAATTTTCAGCAAAATATATTAGATTGATTTTTATTTAGATATAGTATAATAATAATAATAAATTCATTAATTGTTTTATTTTTTTATTATATTATGACAAAGTGATCTAATACGATCTATCATTATTTTTATCTTTTCATTCTTCGCAAATATAGGAATACATATGTATTCCTATATATTCTCTTATAAATTTAAATATGCTACTCTTATAAATTTAAATAATCTCGAAAGATTTATTAATGATATTAAAAAAGAAAAAAAAAAGAAATCAATTAATGTTTCAATATCCTATTATTAATTATTTTCTTGAACATTAATAAACGTTTGTATATAATTCGTTAAAAGATTTCTTCCTCTAAAAGAAGAAGAAGAAAAAAAAAAGAAAAAAAGAAATTACTCGAGTAAAAATAATAACCTTCGAAAAATTTATCGCTTTTTTTGTTATTATTTAAATTGACAAACCAGCAAATTTTTAACGCCAACTTGCTTACCTCGTAAAAAAAAAAAATATAAGAAATCGTGGAACTCCTCAGCTTAGCAGGTTTTACGCTTGAACAATTTTTCAGAACACCCGTAGGAAATCGTCGGGAAAATATTTACAGTCGCGTTATTCGAATTTATAAAATACATCATCCTGCGGCGTCGCCTTCACGACGAAATTGCTTTCGAAAGCTTCTTCCATCCCCTTCCTCTTCCCCAAACCCGACCGTACCGCTCCACACTCCCACTCACACCCAACCACCCACTTCCATCCTACACATACTTTACTCAATTTTCTCATCTTCATCTTCTCTTTTTCTATTACTCTATCACTATCTCTATCACTATCTCTATCTCTATCTTTTTCTTCTGTGTGTCATCTGTTTCTCTCTCTTTCTCTCTTTTCTGTTTTCTTTATATATATATATATATATATGTATATATTGCTCTCTCTCTCTCTCTCTCTCTCTTTTTCTTTCCCTCTCAGTCTCTTTCTATCTCTATGTTCTTCTTTTTTGCTATCTCTCTTTCTCACTCTCTCTCTCTCTCTCTCTCTCTCTCTCTCTCTCTCTTTATCTATCTCTGTCTCTTTCTTTATCTGTCTGTTTCTATCTCTTTTTTTAAATATCTTCGTTTCTCTTTGTCTGTCTGTCTGCTAAACGTTTCGTACATACATACACACATATATATATATATATACATACATACATATATATATATACATATATATTCTATCTCTTTTTCATCGATATCATACCCTCGATAGTTATCAACTTTCTTTGGCTTTTCATCGTAACTCCATCGTAACACAGGCATGCTTACTATCTAACGATTCTTGTTATATCTACCAGCTTTCTCACATCTAATGTCACACGTTATTCAGCAATCATTTTCGAACGTGCCTTTTGAAAATATACGTAGCATTTAACGATCATATTTATATGATTTTCAGTGGAATATATTGAAAACTATTCGTTCTATTTAAATTATCTCGTTAAAAAGTCATTTGTTCTTGTTCTACCTTTTTGTTTTTTCTTCTTCTTGTTCTTCTTCTTTTCAAATTAATTAATAATAATTATATAGAATCATCGTTCGATATAAATAATTATCAGTGGGTGTAATATGAAATTTTAAGGTGTGCATCATCGATTATATTCAATGATAATGTGACGATCGAAAACATATCGATCATTATTTGAATGTTGAAGAATATGCACGTTTATACGTGCGAAAGTTGTCAATAGATGGAAAAGTTAGAACGATTGAAATTATGACGTCAAAAGTTGAACATTGGAGGAATGGAAATCAGTGAATCACCGGACGAAGAGGACATCGAAGGATCCATTGAAAATAATACGAAAGGGATTTCAAGGTCAGATTTTTTCGAGGTAATCGATTCGACGATAAGAAGTGTCGTATTCGAGGATGTCGTCGGTTCGAAGGAAAAAGAGGAAGAGAAGGAGGAAGAGTACGATGGGAGAAATATATTTCTGATGACCTTGAAGGGCGTCGTTATCGTTGGAATCATTCTGACAGCACTTATTGGCAATGCCGTCGTTGTCGCTAGCGTTCGAAGGCATAGAAAATTACGTGTTCCGACCAATCGATACGTTGTCAGCCTTGCAGCAGCTGATTTCTTAGTGGCTGTGTGTGCTATGAGTTTCAATGCGTCAGTCGAACTATCTGGACATTGGATTTTTGGTAGGACAATGTGCGACGTTTGGAACTCAATGGACGTATACTTTTCAACGGCATCGATATTACATCTTTGTTGTATCAGTGTCGATAGATATTATGCTATAGTTAGACCGCTTGAGTATCCCGCTATTATGAGAAGAATCACTGTCACGTGTATGTTAGCCAGTGCTTGGATTCTACCTGCTCTTATCAGCTTCATACCTATATTTATGGGATGGTATACTACCGATGAAAATCTTAAATATCTTCGAGACAATCCACAGGTTAGGGGAAATTCTTTTTTCTTTCCTCTTTTTCCTTTTTTTTTCTTTCTTACTTCTCTTTCTTTCCCTTTTCTTTCTCTCTCTCTCTCTCTCTAATATTTCTATCGATACGACCCTTTGTATTATTGTGTGTGTCGTTGAAGATAAACAGAAAGAAAAGTGAATAAAAAAAAAAAAAAAAAAAAAAAAAAAAGAAAAGAAAAAAAAAAGAAAGAAAGAAAAATAAACGATAAGATCGATTAGTTCATTGATACGAGAGAAAAATAATGTTTTATTTCTTTTATTTTTTTTTTCTTTTCCTCTATAGCTCGTTGCAACTTGAGAAAATTTAGAATTCTTCTTTCTCCTTCTTCTTTTTTTTTTTTTTTTTTTTAATTTTTTTTATACGTTTCTTCACGATCCATTCTTTCGAATTTACGAGTTCGAGATAAGAGACGACAAAATGACGTATACTAGACTCAACTTTATGATCATCGAAGGTCGCTCATTTTTTGTTTGACATTTTATGAGAGTTCACTTCCGACTATCGATCATCTCGCAAAATGTTAAGACGTTTGCTGAGGAAATTAAGGTTCGAGAAGGAGTAAGAAATCGAGAGAGACCAAGAGAGAAAGAGGAAGAGAGAAAGAGGGAGAGAGAAAGAATGAGAGAGATTGAGAAAGAAAGAGAGAGAGAGAGAGAGAGAGAGAGGGAGGGAGACATAGAGATGAACACAGATAAAACCTTTTCTATCTTGAGAAAGTTCCAACTAAGCTTCGCGACTGCTACACCCACTGGCGGATTTAGATTTTAAAGAGTCCAATACTTTTCAAATCTTTTTCAAGATGGCTATCTTAAAATAAATCAAGTATTCACATTATATATACGTATATATTTTTGTTTTTATTCTATTTTGCATATATATATAATATATTGTATTTTTTTTCTAAATGCTTCGACTGACTATTGTTCATATGCAAATGACGAAGTGAACAGAAAAAACTTATCAAATTCAAGTTTGTGTAAAAAACAAATATATAAAAAAGAAATTATATAACAAATATAATATATATATATTTTATATTAAATATAAAATTATATATTAGATAGTATTAAATTGAAAATTGATTATATATAATATAAATTGATAACATTGTGTTTGAGGGCCCTCGTCATATCATATTTGAGATGATCCTTATGACTTTACATAAATCCGTCACTGACTATATCTTTTTTCTCCTCTGGATTCTTTCAACTCATGCTAAATTTGTCATTGCGTTCAATGTTATTGTATTTCCACAGTACGATAGATTTCATTTACGCAGACGATTTATATTCTTATTTGGAAAGGATGAGAATATCTGTTCTATTCTATTCTCTCTTTCTCTCTCTCTCTCTCTCTCTCTCTCTCTCTCTCTCTCTCTCTCTTTCTGTCTCTCTCTCCGTCTGTCTGTCTGTCTTTTTCTCGCCAATGTCATTACCATTGGGATGTATATCATGAAAGAAAAAGAATTTTTTTCTGTATCTCTGACTTTTAATTATTTTGATTATGATTCATCAAATTCAATATTCTTTATGTTTTTTTCTTGTCAATATTATAATAGGAAGAAAATTTAAGAACCTCCTAAATAATATCTTTATTCATCTTTCGTAATATCTTTGAGTACGATATAAAAAATTCAATAACTTTTTTTCCTTCTCTTATTTTCTTATGTCTAACTTTTCTTTATTACATATTATTTTCTATCGATATTATACTTTGCAAAGAATTCAAAATTCATAATAAATATCTGTTCTATCTTCTTGTAATATTTTTATATTATACAGAACTTATAAAAGAACGGAAAAAAGAAACAGTATTTTTTCTTTCGTAAATATCATGCTATATATATATATATATATATATATATATATATATATATATATATATATATAGAAAAAATAAATAATTAAAACAAATGTAGAGTGCTACATTGAAAATATTCACTTTTGTTTTATTCTTTTATAGAGTATAATATCATTCATTATCATTCATAAAATTCATTAGTTCCTATCTATATTTTATTAAAATTATCCTATGAAAAAGAAAATTAGAAAAAGAAAATATATATGCTCCGTAGAAAAGATATTTCGTATCTTTCTCTTCAATAATATTGTTGATTATGATTTATAAAATTCAATTAAAAATCTTTCTCTTTCTCACTCTCTTTCTCTCTTTCTTGCCCTCGCGTTTGTTCTCTCATCAATTACATATTACATTTAATTTTATTTCGTGGAAAAGAAAAAAGAAAAGAAAAAAAGAGGGATAACAGCTCGCAAAGATTTTCTTATTCTTTTGAAAAAGTTCAAAAGTGATTACCTACGTCGATACATTTTTTCTCTGTTTTCTTTTCTTTTTTTTTTTTTTTTTTTTTTTTTTTTCATCATGGTGTTACTGCATAATTCGCATTTTAACGAGCGATTTCATTAGTCCAACTCTTGAAACGTTGTTGTAGCCTTGACTTAAGTGAGAATTTCGAAGTATGTATATAGCGAAGAGACGTTCCCTATGTAATTTGGACTTTCCCTTTAAATACGTCTTCTTCCTTGGCCTCACTTTTCAACGGTGATCATTAACGTCTCTCCTTCATTCTTCTCGTTCTTTTCTTTCTTTAGAATGAGAATTCTCTCTCTCTTTCTCTCTCTCTCTCTCTCTCTCTCTCTCTCTCTCTCACTCTATCTCTCTCTATGTATATCTCTCTCTTTTTCTATCTCCGGCGATCTTTTCAAACGATAAGACTTATCCGGAGGAAAATGTGATCCAATAGTCGATCTTCTCGTTTTCTCGATTAGGTTGGTTTATGAAAAGACTTTTGAAAAGGATCGATCTCCGATTTCGTTGGAATTTTTCAACCTCTCCACGATCAACATTGATCGTTATTAAAAATTAAAATTTGTTGAATTAATATATTAGATTCCATTGATTATTATATTGGGTTAATATATTTTTTTCTTTTTTTTTCTTTTTTTATTGTCGTACATTAAATCATATTGAGTATATTATTGAAAATAAATATTTTTTTTTTTTTTTTTTTTTTTTAAATATATCAAATCAAACTGATTTATTTTTTTTTATATAAAATGAATATTGTTCAAATTGCATTGAAATTATATTAAATCACATTAAATCAAATGATTCTATAGAAAATTAATATATATATATTTTTTTTAATTACATTAAAATTGTTGCAAAAAAATTTCGATGAGAATTTCTAATATTATTAATTATTGATCTCAAATATATATTGTTTCTAACGTCGGACATCGATCAGAGCTTAAAAGTCACGTTCGATCAATCAAAAAGAAAAAAAAAAAAAAAAAAAAGAAAGAAAGAAAAAAGAAAGAAAAAAAGAAAACCTTGATGAAAACGAAATCGAAAAGTGACTGTGATCGTCAGGTATGCAGGTTCACGGTGAATCGGCTGTACGCTTTAATAAGTTCCTCGATCTCCTTCTGGATCCCTGGTTTCGTGATGATCGTGATGTATTGCAAGATTTACAAGGAGGCAGTCAGGCAAAGAGAAGCACTCAGTCGAGCATCGAGCAATACGATTTTAAACAGTATACATTTACATCGTATGTCAACGTCGAGACATCATTCGAGAGCATCTCATCAGCTTTTGCTACCACCAAGCAATGGCGTGGAATTTGGAAGAGCACGATCTTACGCATCTGCTGCCGAATTAAACCTTGAGAACGGTGAGTTAACATTTTCATGGGCTGTCATCAACGAAAAGGAATGAAATTTATCTTTCCTTTTTTGGGAATGAATTTTATTTATTTTATTACTAACGAAAATCTTTTAAATATGTATGAAATATTTTTTAATATCAAAAGATTTTTAAATTTGCATATAGGGAGTGGGATCCTGAAGGGTGGGGGAGGGTTTGGGGGGAGAAGACGAGATAATTTAAAAAGATAATCTATAATCTTTTAAATGATGTTTAATTCTGTGAAGAATTTTATTTATAAATTATGGTTAATGTATAAATCCATTGTAATATATTAATATTAGGAATGATATTATTATTAGTATTAATACTATATTTGCTTAATTAATTTAAGTAATATATTTTACAATAATCGGTAAATTAATAATTTAGAAAAATAAATATATATATATTATGTTTATTATAATTTAAAAGTAAAAGATAAGTAATAAGATAAGAAATACTAATATATTTATATATAAATATATTTATAAATATTTATCATCTTATATATTTATAAATATATAGGGTGGAATAATAACTTTGATCACCTTGATTATCTTCGTTTTTGTGATGATATGACAAAATTTTGTTTGCAGGATTGCATGACGAAGGAAATCATAATATAACAGTAATAATTTTTTTCTATTGGAGATAGATCCGTAAAGAATATATGAAGGTCAAATGAGTTCCTTTTTTAAATAGTATTATATATTTTCGATGCAACTCGATATTCTTTATAGAAAAATGTTAACTTATGTATATCGAAAAGTTATTAATTTAGGAGATATTTCACAATTATGTGCTTATTACGAAAAAGAAATTCTTTCGGATGTTCGATCATTCAATTTCATAAATTGACGACTATTAAATAAACAAATTAAAATTAACTAATTATAAAAAAAATTTTAATGATTTTGTTAAACTTATGTCTTATTATATATAACTTATGTCAATTGCGCTTATTACGAAAGAAAAGAAAGAATTCGATTTAAACAATTATAAACAAAATCGATTTTATTATACCGATGTTATTACAATAGTTAAATAAATAAAGGATAAATTACGTTTGAGAAAGGTATTTGTTTTAAGTTTCTATGATTTTTTGTTCCGGAGATATCGTCTTCGAAAGATTTCCATTCATAATTCATAAATAGAGTTGTTCGTAGTAATAGTAGTAATGGTAATAATAGTAGTAATAATAGTAGTGGTAGTAAGACCTTGTAGAAAAATTAAATTCTCAGAATTTATACAGGTCAGTGTGTCACTTAGTAAATTTGAATGAAATTATCTAGATCAGTGAGTTAACGTAAACATCTTCCATTCACATGAGAATATCTTAGGGATTAACAGTCATAGAAATTCGAATCAAAGACCATTTTAAAGGACAGAATTTCCTCTACTTTTTTTATATATTTTTAATAATTAATAAATAATTTGTTATAAAAAATTTTGTTATAAACAAATTCATTCGAACTTAATTCATTGTATTTTGCTAAAAAAAAAGAAGTCAGATTACGACTCTGATTTATAAATTTACATACGTTAATGAATAATTAATAAACGAATTATTTTCTTACCAAAGAAATAATTTTGTTTTATTTACATTATTAATAGCTATATCTTTTTTTTACATGGGAATATTTCCGGAACTAAGAAAGATAGAGACTTGAAAAAATATCATTTTAAAAGACAGAATTTGATCTAATTTTTTCAGCATATGTTAAATAATTAATTAATAATTTATTAGAAACAACAATTTTTATAAACAAATTCTTAACAATTAAATTCATTGTATTTTACCAACTGAACATTCAGATTGCAATTGATTTATAAAATTATGTAAATTAATCAATAATTAATAAACAAATTATTTTTTTTCCGAAGAAATAATTTTTTTCTATATTGTTAATAATCACGTCATTTACGTGTGAATATCTTTGGAACTAAAAGTCGTAGAAAATTCAATCGAATACTATTTTAAAAGGGAGAAATTTTTTATTTTCTCAACATATTTGTTAATTATTACTTAACAATTTGTTATAAACAATTTTTATAAACAAATTCTTATGAGCTTAATTTATCTTATTTTGCCAAAAAAAACTATTCAGATTGCGACTTGTTTACAATAATACATAAATTATTAAATAATTAATAAGTGATTGTTTACTCTTTTTTACTTATTTGCGCTTACTCTGTTTTTATTCTGCGTAACTCTAAAGTTAAGAAACCATCATTCTCTTACTATTACTATTTACTTATTACTACTCACTATATTTTAATCGAATCGTTATGGTTTTTTTTGACAATTTTTCAATAAAAATATCTGTAAAATTAATAATTTTTTAATGCCTAGGATTAATGCTTTTCTATAGAGAATGTCGAGCTACATCGATCAATGTGATTAAAAACATATGAATTTGTTAAAAAAAAAAAAAAGAAAAGAAAAACAGTTGAACATCATATGCCTTCTATATGTCAACCTATAAAAAAAAAAAAAATAATTACTACCATATCATGGTCCCCTTTGTATCGTACAACTTTTGTAAAGAAAGTTTCTCCATATTTTTAAAAGGAATAGAGAGATATTCAGGGTGATCAAAGTTATTGCTCCACCCTGTATATATTAATAAATTAATATTCTAGGAAAAGTTGTAATATACAAAAGTGTAAAGGATAATTCCAAACGTTACAATTCTTTTTATATAAAACAAAAATTTATATAAAAGAAAATTCGTAATATTCTTTAATTTTTCATTTATATTTCGATTATCATTCAATTTAAAATCCTCGAACGAGTTATATCGTCGATTATATATCGTCGAGTTATGTCTTTATTAGAAAGAACAAATTCTTTATTCGATAAGATTTATCAGGATATAACTTTGTTATAAAGGAATTTTTTTTCAATTGAACTTTATGAATTCAAAGTTTTTCAAAGCGTATGTAAGTAATATACGTTTATGTAAGATTTCTTTTGGAATATTCAAAAGTTTCGTTTTCATGGTGAAGTACTAAATTTTCTTTATGAATTATTACGTAGTCGAAAAGCAAACGGTCTATGTAATATATATATATCCGTGACATGAAATATTAAGTCACTGTAAGATAAGCTTGAGATATGCTTGGATCGTACTTTCATCTCACAGAAAACTTTATGACTTTCTATCGTGATTCCACGTTTAAATGGTGAAGTTTAACGAAGGATAATTAAAAGACGTGGATTAAATCGAAACTGAGGAAATGATCTTCTCTCTCTCTCCCTGTTTTCCTTCTCTCTCATTTTCTCTCTCTCTCTCTCTCTTTCTCTCACTCTCACTCTCCCTCTCTCTCTCTTTTACCCTTTCTTTCATAATCTCTAATTTCATTCTATCTATAACTAAATAATTAGGTAACTAAATCGTATAAAATAATATTAAATAAATTCCGATTTATTTATAATTACAATTACATTTTTACTGAATTAATTAATGTATAATTACAATATAATATCGTATATGATATATAATATATATTGCTATTATTAATATATGATATAATTATATAATATTATTATAAATAAATATACTATTGTATTATATATTAAATAATAATAATACCGATATATTATAATATTATTTAATTTATTTTTATTATATTTATATAGTAATGATAATAACAATAATAATAATAATAATAACAATAATAATAATAATTATTATTATTATTATAGTAATATATGATATAATTATAGTTATATATTAATTATAGTTAATATATGATATTAAATTATTACACTAATTATAATACTTTTATTTAATTAATACATAATCATGTATAAATATATATATATATATATTTATTGTTAAGTTTATAACAAAAAAAAAAAATATATATATATATATGATAAAAACTTAATTCATCATGAAATTAATATTAAGAAGAATAAGAGAAACAAATGTTATGTGTGAGCTTAAGAATTTAAGATTGTTTTGAAAATACAGTCGTTTCAAGGTTCTCGTGTTAGAAGAGAGAAGGTCGCAACTGAAGGTTGCGTCTTACTTTATCATATACAATCGAATAGTCTTTGAAGATCTGCCCAAGGGAGAGGACGTACAGTCGTGAGTTCGTTCAAAAGTTATTCGTTACATTAATCCCAAGTTGATTATTCTAATATACATAATATGTATGCGAAAGTATAATAATTAACAAATCTTTATTATTTTAAAGGAAATTATATCGCATAATATATAATTATTTTATTGGCGGTACAACAAAAGGACAATCTTTTATTATTATCAATTTATTTTTCTTCTCACATGCTTCATATAACATATTTTTATTTATTTACTCATCGAAATTGATCTTTAGCTGGCTATGACGTCACCGCTGACCTGATACTTGATTTAATTAAACATCATCAGTGAGTATGTGCATAAATAAGAAAAAACGATGATAAATAATTATAGTGAAAAGGAAAGTCAAACAAATTAAATTTGTACTGATATTTATTAAGAAATTCTTCGTTTAATGTAAAAATAATTATTCGATTGTAAAAGAATTACACACACACACACACACACGCACACACGCACAAATATACATAGATATATTTAATTTTCGTATAAAATTTTATTACAAAATTTCTTTCGAAGGATACACGATTAAATGAGAACAAATTATAAAAATAATTATGAATATTTTAAGATATTAATAATATAAATAAACAAATTAAATTAATTAAAAATAATAATTAGGCAAAATAAAATCTACACAAGTTATGATATATCGAATGGTTTTCTTATAATGTAAATATTATTACTTAATTTCATGGATGTTTAAGTACGCGGATATATTAATATACACATATTTACGTAGTTGTCCTTTGAATGGTACCACATTATCACTGACCCAGAGTAATATTAACGATAATCAAAGGAGATGCAATGAGCATGTGACTGGTGATTATCGATTCACATCAGAGAGTTTTCGAGGACACAAGTTATAAAG